ATCGGCGACGTCGGCGTGGAGAAAATCGGGCTCCGCATCGACGATGCGTCAACAATGTGGCGCGATCCTCTGGCCCCATCTACTCCGACCCCACCTAGGAAGCCAAGATCCAGGAATCCCGTGTATCGTCGGTTACACGCAAGAACGACGCTGGGTAAGAGTGACATTTGGTGCGCGCCTTCCTGAGAGCCGCGGGGGGACCAAACACAAGCGCGCAAGGCACTACCATCGCACCGCACGCGTCGCTCGGAGGGCCCCAATCGGGGGTCTGCTATCCGGGTCAATCAGACCCGGGTCAGCAGGAAACCAAAAAACTGCAATTCAATAACAAAAAAAACGGGGGAAAAAAATGCAACGCAGGGCTTCGCAAACCCGGGTCAGCCAACATGCACCGCCGCCCCGCGGCACCGAGCGGCTCGCTCACCCGGGTCAGCCAGAGGGGGTCTTTGCAGGATCCTGCAGGATCCAGTGTCCTGGCGGACCCCCGTTTGCATTGACCCGCGTCTCCTGAGCACCCCAACCCAGCGGGCGCGCACCAACGTGATCCTGCAGGATCCATTGACCCGCGTCTCCTGAGCCCCAACCCAGCGGGCGCGCACCAAAGGTCACTCCGGCGAGGGGTCACTCTTACGTGTAGTCGGCATCGGATGCCACGGGACGACGGGGGCGCCCTCGCCACTCCCCGCGGCGGCGAGAGCACCGGCGGGGCCAGCGACGACGACCAGCGATGACGCCAGCGGCAGCGGACGACGACGACGACGACGACGACGACGACGACGACGACGACGACGACGACGACGACGACGACGACGACGACGACGACGACGACGACGACGACTGGCGCGGCGGACGGCGAAGAGAAGGGCTCCAGGAGAAGTCCAAGATGTCACTTGCGACAGCCTTCACTCCTCTCCCAAGAAAGGGAGGGAGCGAGAGAGGGAGGGAGGGAGGAGGGAGGAGGGAGGGAGGCAGAGAGAAGTGATGGGGGGGCAGGGAGGGGGAGAGGAGGGGCTGACACCTCCCCTGCCCGAGGGCTGGTCGAGGCTCCTGGCGCCACCACCAGGAACGTCCCGAAGTACAGCGCCAGCGAGGGCCGAGCTGCCACCAGTGGGGTGCAGACCTCTGGAGGGCGGGGGGGGCCGATGCGCTTTACCACTACCTCTTCGCCCTCCGCTTCCTCGACCACCTCCTGCTCCTGCCGCTCCTCTGCCCCCTCCTCCCCCCTCCTTCTCCGCATCGCTCCCATTCACCCTCCGCCTCCCCCTCCGCCGCCGCCTCCGCTTCTGCCACCTCCTCCTCCTCCTCCTCCTCCTCCTCATCCTTCTCCTCCTCATCCCCCCTCCTCTTCCTCTCCTCTCCTTTCCTCCCCTCTACTCCTCTCCTCCCTCCTCTCCCTGCCTCCTCCTCCTCCTCCTCCTCCTCACTCCTCCTCCTCCCCCTCCCCATCCTCCTGCTCCTTGTCTCATGCTTCCTCCTCCTCCTTGCTTCCTCCTCCTTCTCGTCATCTCCTATCCTCACTCCTCATGCGAATCCTTCCTCCCCCTCCTCCTCTCTCCTCTCCTCCTCCACCTCTATACTCCTCCTCATCCTCCTATCCTCCTCACCTCCCCTCCCTCCCTCCTCCCTCTCCTTCCTCCTCATCATCTTCATTTCTTCATCATCATCATCGTCATATCATCATCATCTTCATCCATCATCATCTGGTCTCCTCCTTCCTCTTTCCTCATCGTCATCTCATAGTCATTCCTCATCTCTCAGCCTCATCTTCCATCCTAATCATCATCTCTATCACTATCTCATCCTCATCCTCATCCTCATCCTCATCCTCATCCTCATCCTCATCCTCATCCTCATCATCAGCATCATCAGCAGCAGCATCAGCATCAGCATCAGCATCAGCATCAACATCAGCATCAGCATCAGCATCATCATCATCATCATCATCATCATCCTCATCATAATCAGCATCATCAGCATCCTCGGCATCCTCATCCACATCATCATCATAATCAGCATCATCACCATCATCATCATCATCAGCATCCTCAGCATCCTCATCCTCATCATCACCATCATCATCAGCATCATCATCAGCAACAGCATCACCATCATCATCGTCATCATTATCATCAGCACATTCATCATCAGCAGCAGCAGCACCATCAGCAACATCATCATCATCAGCATCATCAGCAGCATCTGCATCATCATCAGCATCATCATCAGCAGCATCATCATCATCGGAATAATCATCAGCATCATCATCGTCATCGTAATCATCATCCTCCTCATCATCATCAGCAGCAGCATCATCGTCATCATCACCATCATCAACAGCAGCATCTGCATCAGCATCAGCATCAGCATCAACATCATCACAATCATCAACCTCATCATCAGCATTGTCAACATCATCAGCACAATCATCATCACCATCAGCATCATCATCGCCACCACCACCATCATCTTCATCAGCAGCATCATCATGATCAGAATCCTCATCATAATCAGCATGTTCATCGTCATTAACCGCCACCATCATCACCATCATCAGCAGCATCGGCATCAGCACCACCGCCGCCATCATCGGCATCATCATAATCAGCATCAGCATCATCAGCAGCAATGGCAGCAGGATCCTCATCATCATCATCATCCGCAGCATCGCCATCACCATCATCAGCAGCAGCATCAGCATCAGCAGCAGCATCATCAGCATCAGCAGCAGCATCATCGGCAGCAGCATCAGCATCAGCATCATCATCATCATCATCGTCGTCATCATCAGAATTATCAGCATCATCAGAAACATCATCCAATCCGTATCTATCTCTCTTTCTTCCACGCATTCCTCCTCCTTCTCCGCCTCCTCCTCCCCTTCGTCCTCGTCCCTCTCCCCCTCCTCTTCCTCCTCGTTTTGTTCCTCCGCATGATCATCAGTAGTATACTGTTCGTTCAATTCATCCTCCGCCTTCCTTCCTCCTCCTCCTCCTCCACCTCCTCCTCCCCCTTCCTCCTCCTCCTCCTCCTCATCATCATCGTCTTCCTCCTCCTCCTCCTCCTCCTCCCGACCACAACATCGGCATCAGCAGCAGCATCACCACCAACACCACAACCTCATTATCGTCGTCATCAGTATCCCGACCCATCATCGTCATCACCACCGCCGAAATCATCAGCACCACAACCACAATCATCACCATCATCGTTCTCGTCATCGTGGCCATCACCCTCGCCTTCGTCATCATTACCGTCACCACAATCGCCATCATTAACAACACGAGTATACATAGCATAAGTATCACCCTTGAACTCATCATCGCCATGAGTAGCATCACTTTAAGCACACAACGCTGATGAGTTGCCGAGAATGCAAAGGAATCGTCATCACCATGCCCATCATGCTGCTCCTCTGAATCCTCATCCCCCTCAACATGTTTTCCCATCGTCCTCATCATCCTCCACCTATTGCACCATCCATCCCCCGTGGTCCCCATGCTTCTCCACATCCTGTCTCATCACCCTGTTGTTCCTCCTCCTCCTCCTCCTCATCCTCATCCTCATCCTCATCCGTCCCTCCTCTTTCTCGATTGCTTCGGTCTCATCATCACACACCTTCGTCAACGTAATCATCGTCATCATCACGGTCTTCACCTTCATCACCCTGTTCCTCCTCATGATCCTCATGATTACCATCCGCACCACCGTCAACAATCAACAGCACAATCATCACGATGGTCATGCACATCGGCACGAGCATGCTCGCTTCCCTTCCCTCTTATCACCCGCCCAGCGACCCCCCCCCTCCACACCACCGCAGAGAGTCAACCGCACAGTCACCACAACCATCGTCTGCATCTGCACGAACAGAATGCCTTCCCTTCCCAATTCCCACCCACCCACCGAACCCCCCCCCCAATCGCCCCCACCCCACGGCGCCTCCCACGTCCAACCTCCAACCACAGGTTGCCATCCCTCACCGCAACGCTGCTCCCGCTGCTGCCCTCCGCCCTCCGCGACGAGTGCCGCCCTCCGACGTGCTCGGCGCGTCGTGCCGTTCGGGTCGCGCTGCTTCAGACACTGCCGAGCTGCATGCAGTTCGCACTCTTTCTCTCTGATGTGACCACATCCTCCTCCTCCTCCTCCTCCTCCTGCCTCCTCCTCCTCCTCCTCCTCCTCCTCCTCCTCCTCCTCCTCCTCCTCCTCCTCCTCCTCCTCCTCCTCCTACCCTCCTCCTCCTGCTCCTCCTCCTCCTCCTCCCTCCTCCTCCCCCTCCTGCTGATCCTCTTCCTATCCTCCTCCGAGAACTGGTACGTTTGGTACTCTGGTACTGCAGCTGCCTGCAGCGTGCCTGCGCAGCTATACAAGCTGCCCAACTATACGCCTAACCACAATTTGTCTACATGGTAGTGAGGGCCAGTCTGTAGACGGCTCACGCGGGACCCCCACCCCGTAAGCTTAGGTCGGGCCTGTCCCCTACAGGGGGATGTTGGACGAAAATTTAGAAAAATACCAGAAGAAATGCTACAAAAATGCTCAAAACAATCAAAAAATCGTCCTCGGACTATTTTTGACTATTTTTGAATATTCCCCCTGTAGAGGGACAGGACCGACTGAACCGTAAGCCACCACTTGAATTGCGAACTTGTGATCAGGAGCTTCGGGCTAATATTTTTGATGTGTCAACCTGTTGTGGAACATCAGCTCGACCACCAACGCCCCAACCACCGCGGCGAGATTTCAAGCCGGCACTGCCCATGCGGGGACGCGTCCCTTGACGCACGAGCTGAACACATTACCAGATGTCACGGAGGCAGCCGCGTGCCACTGTATAAAGACGCCGGGTGGTGAGCATACGTGGTCATATGCCGAATTCCGCCTCCCACCTCCCCCCAACGACTTCAGCCGACCCACTCCCTCAGGATCCTTGTGTTTCTCCGCCTGCCCTGAGCGCATGGAACGGATGGGGCTCCCACCCCTGCGCCGCCCCTCTGGTGTCGAGGAAGCGTCACACCTGCCATGTCCTGCGCGCGTGGCACGGATGACCCAACCCCCTGCGCACCATCTCTGGTGTCGAGGAAATGCCACGCCTGACATGCCCTGGGCGCGTATCACGAATGGGAATTCCACCCCCTGCGCGCCCTCTCTGGCGTCAACGAACTGCCACCTAAGTGCCGCGCCTGCCACTGTCTGGGGTCCTGACGTGAATATCAGAACCATTCCCTGCGCACCCCTTTGGTTTCGAGGAAGTGTCACGCCTGCCACGCCCCGTGTACGCGTGTGTGGGCCTGTGTTGTGTCGAGAAAGTGCCACGCCTGCCACGCCCCACGTATGCTTGCGTGCGTCTGTGTTGTATGGTGTTGTGCGCTTGCGTCTGTGTATGTGTGCGTGCGTCTTTACGTGTATGTGCACTCGTGTCTGATGTGTGTGTGTGTGTGTGCCTGGTTGCGGGTGAGAGGGAGGAGGAGGAGGAGGAGGAGGAGGAGGAGGAGGAGGAGGAGGGGAGGAGGAGGAGGAGGCGGAGGAGGAGGAGGAGGAGGAGAGGAGAGGAGAGGAGAGGAGAGTAGAGTAGAGTAGAGTAGAGGAGAGGAGAGGAGAGATGCAGTTAGCTCAACTGATCCTGGCAACGTTCCTGACCGTGCTCCTGGGCCCGGGCCTCCCGCCCCAGGCTGCGGCAAGTGTGGCCGCGAGATCTCCGCGTGACCTGCTGCATCCATCTGGAGCCCCGGAACGGTGCGGTGACAGACCGTGCGGTGACCTCAAAGGCCCCCAAGACCCTCACCGCACGGTCCGTCACCGCACGGTCTTGGGACCCTGGAGGCCCCTGTCGCCCGAGACGTCCTCGGAGAGGGCCTCGAGCCCCAAAACCGTGCGGTGACCCCGAATCCCCACCGACTCACCGTACGGCGTGGTCACCACCCCGTCTGGGGGCCCCCGACATCCAGCCGTAGCCAAAGGTGCCTGCGGAGCCCGCCCGCGCCAACAGCACCGAAAAAACCGACGGAGCCGACGTCGAAACCGAAACCGACCGAGCTCGACGGACGGATAGTGATGGGCCTGTTTCCCACCAACACCACCGCCATAAGTTTGAGAAGAGAAGGACGCGGAGGACGAGGAGTAGAACGAAAAGGAGGAGGAGGAGGAGGAGGAGGAAGTGGATGAGGAGGAGGCCCCCCTTCCCCTCCAATTCATGGTGGTCGTGGTAGTGGTGGTGGTGGTGGAAAACAGGCCTATCAGATAGAAGATCGGCAGCGGCGCGGGAGCCGACCGAGTGCAGCACGATGCGAAGCATCCGAACCGACCGAGCCGCGGACCTTCTTCGGAACCCTGCACTACCGAAAACAAAACAAAAAAACGACGTCAACAAGGTGCTCAATATCTATCTGGCTTCGCTGGGCCAATCCACGATACCGGCGTGCCCAACACTCGGGGGCGCGCAAACATGGATCGGGGAAGGTGCCCTCCCCAAAATGCGGCGGGTGCCGCCTGGTTCGGCGGCGGAAATTCGCGATTCCTCATGGAAACGGGACCCGTCGCTAATCCACGCTCCCTTAATCCATGTTTGCGATCGGCCGAAACACCTGCTTCTTCTCATACCTCCGCCCTCTCCCTCCCTCCCCCCTTCCTCCATCCCCCCTCGTTCCTCTCCTGAGGATCCTGCTGGTCCTACTCTGGAGCTCCTTGCGGGCTCCGAGGCTTGCCGCTCGCTGCTCGGTAGAGTGCCTCTGGGAAAAAGCACGGGGCTCCCGCTGGCTCTTTCTGCCGCCGCAGAGTTCGCTGGCCCTCTCGCCTTCGCAGACTAGTTACTGCCGCCGCGATCGCGGAGGCCAGATTAGGGGACCACATGCGAACCCTACCCCTACCCCCCACGATTTCTGAGGGGGAGGGAGGGGTTCAGTTCGCTCTGGAGCTCCTGGATAGAGTGAACCCCGCCCTCCCCCTCAGAAATCGTGGGGGGTAGGGGTAGGGCTCGCACGTGGCCCCCTACAGATACAGACAATATGTATAGTAAGGATGCGCGATAAGGATGCAAGGGCCTTGGACGCCCATTTCGAAGCATCTCGAGCGGGGCGCGGCCAGCGAAAGCGGCGAAGGATGGACCGAGGGCTGTACAAGCGGGCAGTCGGTAGCAGGTCGAGGGGGGAGGAGAAAGGAGGCCAGGGAGGGGAGAAGGGAAGGGAGGCGGGGGAGGTGCAAGCGGCGTGCCGTGCGGGCGGAGTGTCATATCAAGGAGAAGCGCTGGTCGAATTGATCGAAGAGGATCAGGAACAGCGACGACCCCAAGAACCAGCAGACGACGTAGAAGCGGTAAGAGTTGCTGTTCTCCACGGCCCGCTGCAGGTGCTTCTCCGCGTTCTCGACGTAGTCCGTGGCCTCCACCGCAAGATCGTGGATGTTGTCGGCCATCTCCTGCTGCTCGGCAACCTCGCGACGGCGCGCAGAGAAAGGGGAAAAAGCTCAGCTTATGTTGCTCCAATCGTACTCGAGGACCACATCCCAGAAATTTGCCGGCCCAACGGGCCAGAGGCGTGCTAAGATCTCCGGTAACTACTTAACAATAGTCATAGTTCGCGCGCGCGCGGGGCGGCCCCTGGGGGGCCCCGGACGAAAAGTACCCCGGCCGATGGCCGGCTGACCCCCGGGCGATCCCCAGGGGGGGGCTATTTTTCGCCACCCCTCACGAGGATCGTGGCCTCCGAGGGGGGGGCCGCAATCGACTACCCCCCTCCCGCCCCAAGGGGCCCCCAAGAGCCCCCCAAGAGGCCCCAGGGGAGCCCAATACGCCACAAAGGAGCCCCAAGACGCTCCCAACAAGCCCCAAGAAGCCCCCAAAACGGCCCCAAGAAGCCCCAAATAGCGCTCCAGGGCCGGCGGAATGAGCGAAGCGATTAATAATCTCGAGCACTCGGAAAAGTGTCGAAAGAGTGTCGAAACAGTGTCTGACGAGTGTCTTCCATGACCCTACGCGTGAAAACCCTTCAGTTTGGGTACCTTTTTCGGTGCTCGAAATTCTTTCTGGTGGTCAAGGTTAAAGTAGGTTGGGACATCATAAGGCTCAGCAAGGAGAGGCGGCACTGGCCGCATTCTGGGGAGGGCACCTCCCCCGATCCATGGATTTGGCGACCGCGCGCCAAAACCACGGATCGCTGATCCGTGTCTGCGCGCCCTCGAATCTGGGAGGCCTCCACTTGCCCGGGCGGCTCCCTGCTGCGCGCCGCCGAGCTCTGCCGCCGCAGCGCCGAGCTGTGCCCGTCGCCGCTGCTGCAGCCGAGGCGGAGGAGGAGGAGGAGGAGGAGGAGGAGGAGGAGGAGGAGGAGGAGGAGGGAGGAGGTGGCGGAGGGAGGAGGAGGAGGAGGAGGAGGAGGAGGAGGAGGAGGAGGAGGGGAGGAGGACGGAGGAGGAGGAGGGGGAGGAGGGAGGAGGATGAGGAGGAGGGGGCGGCGGAGGTGGAGGGTGGAGGAGGAGGAGGGAGGGGAGGAGGTAGGAGGTGGAGGAGGAGGAGTGAGGAGGAGGAGGAGGAGGAGGAGGAGGAGGAGGAGGAGGTGAGGAGATGGTGGGAGGAAGGAGGAGGAGGATGGGAGCGAGGAGGGGGAGGAGGAGGGGTGTGAGGAGGTGGAGGAGGGAGGAGGAGGAGGAGGGAGGGGGAGAGGAGGAGGGAGGGTGGTGGAGGAGGTTGAGGAGGAGGAGGAGGAGGGAGGAGGAGGTGGAGGAGGAGGAGTAGGAGGAGGAGAGGAGGAGGAGGAGGAGAGGAGGAGGAGGTTTTTATGGGAGGGCGGAGGAGGAGGGAGGAGGAGAGAGGAGGAGGAAGGAGAGGAGGATGGAGGAGGAGGGAGGAGGGAGGAGGGAGGAGGGAGGATGAGGAGGAGGAGGGGAGGAGGAGGAGGGGGAGGAGGAGGAGGAGGGGGAGGAAGGAGGTGGATTGGGAGGAGGGAGGAGGAGGAGGAGGAGGTGGGAGGAGGAGGGAGGAGGAGGGGCAGGAGGAGGAGGAGGAGGAGGGGGAGGAGGAGCTGCAGCAAGGGGGGGGGGGCGGGCGGCCTTCCGAGGCGGGCTCGATCTCTGTGGCCCGCGGCCGCGCGAGAGGCCGACGGCGGTCGAGCAGCGGGGGGGCTCCGCGGGGGCGCGGAGGGCACGGGAGGGGAGGCGCGCCGGGGCGCGGGGAGGTCGGAGGGCCGGTGCGTTCGAACGCGGAGGGAAGTGCTGGTCGTCATCAAATAAACAACCATGCCGACTGCTGCGTGGAAGTCGTTCGGGCCGTGCTCCCTGCACATCTGCGTACGACGACGGGGAGATCGAGTGTCTCTCAAGAGCCTTGAGTGCAGTGTCAGTTCCCCTCCGCGGAGACCGCGGCCGTTCGCGGACCCCCTCCTGGATTCTTCCTGAAGAAGGTTGTCGGAAGGTTTTTGGAAGGCTTTTCCTTGGCTCCAGGGGGCGGGGGGAGCGAGGAAGGTGTTTTGGAAGGTCTTCCCCCAAAACACAAACCCTTCCAAAAACTGTCCAAAAAATATCCAATTGCACGTCGCAGCGCGGCAGACAGAGGCGGTCCGCACGCGCGTCGGGGCGAGGCCGGGGCACGGCGTCGCAAGCGAGCCCGCGCGCAAGAGGGGGGGGGGAAAGGCGATGGGGCGGCGGCGAAGAGAGGGCAGCACGGCGCGGGGGCGCTCTCACGCAACAGTGCTGCGGCGAGTGCGCGGGGGGGGGGGCTGAGGGTCAGAGGAGGAAAAGGTACCCATCCCATATCTCCTCCCTTCTCTAGGTATCCCCCTCTGCGGACCTCCTGGGCGGCCCCTCGTCAGCCTTTCGCTGGATTTCGCATGTATGCAGGGCAAGAAACGCAACCGGCAAGGCCCGTGGTGCTGCGGTAGGGGTACCTGTTGTCTTCCCCAGTGGGGGGGGGTGTCGATGCCGAAGAAGCACGACGCACGCACACCCTCCGCCGTCCTCCTTCCGCCTCTCCTCCTCCTCCTCACCTCTCCTTCCTCCTCCGCCCCTTCCCGACCCCTCCTCCGCCTCGCCTCCTCACTCCGCCTCCCTCCTCCTACGCCGCCTCCGCCCTCCTTCCTCCTCCTCACCTCCCCCCATCCGCCTCATCATCCGACGGCCAGACTACTCCGCCAGCGATTTTGTTAACTCCAATCCCCTACACTAGGGGCTGCGGCGAGCGCGCGGGGGGGGAAGGGGGGGGGGCGAGGGGAGGGGGGAGTCACACGCGGGCCAGGAAGGGTTCTGAGGCGACGCAGGGCGCTCCAGGGAGGGCCTCGCGGGCCTCCCGGAGGGCTCCGCGCAGGGCAGGGAGGGCCTCCGAGGAGCTTCCTGGACGCCCCCCCCCCCTCCAGCGCGCCACCGCCCAGATGCCGAGGGGCAACGATAAGGGGGACTGGCAGGGGGGGGTTGCATCGACCTGGAATCGGCGATACATCGCCGATAGATCGGCGGTAGGTCTCCGACAGTGAATCCGCACCTTCCTGGGCAGGTTGGGGCCATCGGGCCCTATCGGCGATCAAGGGGCGATTGGGGGTCGATGCATCCCCCCCTAGGCCCTAGGCCCCCCTATCGTTGCCCCCGGGATGCGCTCCAAGCCCAAGGCGCGGATCCCTCCTGGGGTCCATCCTGGCAAGGCTCCCGAGCACGCGCCGAGCCGTGGCGGCGAGGACTGCAGGAGTGCCCCCCGCCCCCCCACGCCAAAAACAGAGGACGACGTCGACGTGGACGCCGAAGGCGAAGGCCCGCGACGACAAGGTCGAGGAACGAACGTATTCCCTTAGCGCAGCCGAGCCTTGGTTGCGAAGAGCCCAACCAGGGACGACACCTCCTCCATCTTGGCCTGCGTGGTCCGGATCTGGTCCACGTCCGCGTCCGTGGTCGGGGCTGGCCACCCCGGGGGCCAGGGTCCACGCTATGCCGCTACGTACACACCTTTACCATCAAAGGCCAGGGCCATCCTGGGCCCAGGGACGGTGCATGGACCCTCCTGGTCGAGCCCGAGGATCCCTGGCCTCGACCAGGAGGGTCCTTGCCCCGTCCTGGCCAGGCCAGATGTCCCTGGCTGGGGGCCCACGCCAAAGATGACCCGTGTCAAGCGATCTGGAGACGTACCTTCGAGCATCCAGGGCTCTGCGAGATGCTCGAGAGTACGTCTCGAGATCTGCTGATACTCCTCCTCCTCCTCCGCCTCCTCCTCCTCGGCTAGAAGCAGGAGTGACCCTAGGCAGGAGTGATCTTTGATGCGTCGCTCGTCCATCGCTGAACAAGCGATGCGACAATAGCGGCTTGCGTGCCTGGGTTTGCCCCCCCTCCCCCACGCCCCCCATGCACCCCGGAAGCCGCACACGAAAGGTAACTCTGGGGAGGGGTCACTCTCACGTGCAGCCGACAGAGTATGGATACCTATATATATATATATATAGATATATATATATGTATACACAACTATATGTATGTGTATGCACACACATATACATGTATACATACACGCATGCATACATGCATACATGCATCCATGCATACATGCATGCAAACATACGTACATACGTACTTGCTTACGTACAAACGTACATACATACATACGTGCACACATACATGCACACATACACACATACCTACATACATACATATATGCATACAAGCACGCATGCATACATGTATACATACATACGTGTACATGCATACACGCATACATACATACATGCATGCGTACACACGTACAGACATGCATGTTTGCGTACCCACATACATACATACGTCAATGCGTACGTACATACATACATACATACATACATACACACAGACATACATGCATGCATGCATACATACATACATACATACATACGTACATACATATACATACATGCATGCATACTTACATACATACATACTTACACGTGCACGCAAACAATCATACATACATACGTTCGGATGTACGTATGTACGTACCTACATACACACACATATATACAGGGGGGTGGCCCGGTGGGTTCCCCATTCGGCCTGAAGATGAAGACTCTATTTGAAGACTCTATTGTTTTGAAGACTCTATTTGAAGACTCTATTCGCCTGACGCTCGATGACGCCTGTGACGCCTCTATTCTGGCTGACGCCTCTATTGGCCTGACGCCCGATGACGCCTCTGACGCCTCTATTCGTCTGACGCCTTTATTCGCTCGGCGCCGTATTTGCCCTGTCGTTCCTATGGGCCAGACGATCGCTGACACCCGTGACGCCTTTATTCGGTCTGACGCCTCTATTCGGCTGACGCCCGCTGACGCTCCTGACGCCTCTATTCTGCCTGACGCCTCTATTCGCTTGAAGACCGATGACGCCCGTGACGCCTCTATTCCTCTGACGCCTTTATTCGGCTGACGCCCGATGACGCCTGTGACGCCTCTATTCTGGCTGACGCCTCTATTCGGCTGACGCCCGCTGACGCTCCTGACGCCTCTATTCTGCCTGACGCCTCTATTCGCCTGAAGACCGATGACTCCCGTGACGCCTCTATTCCTCTGACGCCTTTATTCGGCTGACGCCCGATGACGCCTGTGACGCCTCTATTCTGCCTGAGATCCGCTAGGAATTTCCCCAAATGATCTGTCCGCGGCGGGTGGTTTTCCGTGGAGAATCTGGCCCAGATTCCCCACGGGAGAGCATCCGTCGCGGACGGGGTTTTCTGGGAACCCCCCAATGGGCCCTGTGACCAAATTTTCGGGACGTGATTCGTGACACTATGCCCAACGGAATTCCCGGGGCGGGTTCGATGGCTCGACACCATGCCAAACGGAATCTCCCGGGGTGGGTCTAGGGGGCACGACGCCATGCGAAACGGGATCTCCCGGGAACCAATTTTCGGAGCGTGATCCGTGACATCATGCCAAACGATATCTCCGGGAGAGGCCCTCATAGGCCCGACACCATGCCAAACGGAATCTCCCGGGGCGGGTCTAGGGGGCCCGACACCATGCCAAACGGAACCTCCCGGGACCAAATTTTCGGGGTGTGATCGTGAAACCATGCCAAACGGAATCTCCCGGGGCGGGTCTAGGGGGCCCGACACCATGCGAAACGGGACCTCCCGGGACCAAATTTTCGGGGCGTGTTCGTGACATCATGCCAAACGATATCTCCGGGAGGGGCCTCCATGGGCCCGACACCATGCCAAACGGGACCATTGGCAAGAAGCGCCCATGGGCCCGACATCATGCCAAACGGGATCTCCCGAGCGCTGGCCCAAGTGTCCGAATCGGCCTGGAAGGGTTCCCGGGCGCTGATCGCAGAAATTCAATATTTTTAAAAGAAAAATGTGTTCTAGAGTGGCCTTTTTTCGACGTTATCTCGGAATTCAATTTTCTGGCGCCGGTCGGCGCCGGAACCGGCTCTGGCGCCGGCCCGGGCGCCGACCCAGGCGTCCGGCTCGAGCGCAGGCTCGTGTGCCGGAATCGGCCCAGAAGAATTAATTCCTGGGTGCGGGAGCAAAAAATCAATATTTTTGAAAGAAAAATGTGTTTTGGAGTGGGTTTTTTTCGGTCCGCCTCGGAATTCAATTTTTCGGTACCAGCCGGCGCCGAAACCGGCCCAGGCGCCGGCCCGGGCGCCGGCCCGGGCGCCGACTTTGGTGTCCGGCTCGAGTGCCGGCTTGGGTGCCGGAATCTGCTTGGAAGGGTTCCTGGGTGATGGGAGCAGAAAATCCGTATTTTTGAAGGAAAAATGTGAATTGGAGTTGACTTTTGTTCGGCATCGCTCGGAATTCAACTTTCTAGTGCCGGCCCGCGCCGGAACCGGCCCGGGCGCTGGCCCCGGCGCCGGCCCGGGGTCCGGCTAGAGCGCCAGTCGGGTGCCGGAATCGGGCGCCGGTAGCAGAAAATCAATATTTTTGGAAGAAAAATGTGTCTTGGAGTGGATATTTTTCCATATCGGTTCTGAATTCAATTTTACGGCGCCGGCCGGCGTCCCCGACGGACCCTGTCCGCGGCGTGGGGTCTCCCGTGGTGGAGAATCTGGCCCGATTCCCTACGGGAGATCATCCGCCGCGGACGGAGCCCTCGGGGAGCCCTCCAACGGGGCCTGTCCGCGGCGGAGGCTCTCCCATGGAGAATCTGGCCCAGATTCCCCACGGGAAAGCATCCGCCGCGGACGG